AACCCTAAACCCTAAACCCTAAACCCTAAACCCTAAACCCTAAACTAGCCTAAGCCCTAAACCCTAAACACTAAACCCTGAATCCGACAAGGGCTTCGGGTTTAGGATGTTAAGGGTTTGGGGAGTTCAGGGCCTCGAGGGTGTTGGGCGGGTTTAGGGCTCAGGGTTTCAAGGGCTCCCTAAACCCTAAACCCTAAAACCCTGAAATCTCCTTTTTAATGTTTAATGTTGAGGGTTTAGGGTTTAGGGTTTAGGGTTTAGGGCTTTGGAGGTTTAGTGTTTCGGTTTCGTGGTTCGTGGAGGCTTCTCCCTCGAACCCAAGCCACTTTCTGCCCCCGAGTTTGGCCCCTCAACGCTAAGCCTTAAACCCTAAACCCTAAACCCTAAGCCCTAAACCCTAAACCCTAAACCCTCTCAACCCTCGGCTCGAAGCCCTAAGCCCTAAGGATAAATGCGTGCCGCGTTTTTCTTGGCGGGGGCTGGGAGCACGCCAAGCGCGGACGTTTGCGAGGTTCGTCCCTGAAGTGCTCTGCCGCCGAAACCCACTAAAAAAGCCTAAAGCCCCTAAAACCCAATCAAAACCCTAAACAAAAAGCCCTAAACCCTAAAACTCCTACGCTTTGAGCCCCTAAACCCTGAAGCCTAAACCACACAAGCCTTCACCCTAAACCCCCCAGGCCCTGAACCCCCAAGCCCAAAAGCAGCTCCGCTACATCCTAAGCCCCTAAACCACAACCCTTCACCAACCCCCAAGCCCAAACACCCCTAAACCCGAAACCCCTAAAACAAACCCTAAAACCAAAGCCCTGAACCCCTAAAACCCTAAACCCCCTAAGCCCAAACGCAAAACCCCCAAAACCCAAACCCCTAAGCCCCGAAAAACCCTGAAACCCTGAAACCCTGAAACCCTAAACCCTAAACCCTAAACCCTAAACCCTAAACCCTAAACCCTAAACCCTAAACCCTAAACCCTAAACGCCCTGGACCTAGGATGGCGCTTGGATCCAAGTACGGCCTCGGGCTCTACGCCCACAACAACCAGCCGGTGCACCATGTGCCTTTGGTGGGCGCTTAGGGGGGGGGGTTTAAGGGGTTTGGGTTTAGGGTTTGGGTTTAGGGTTTAGGGTTTAGGGGTTTAGGGGTTTAGTGGTTTAGGGGTTTAGGGTTTAAGGTTTAGGGGTTTAGGGTTTAGGGTTTAGGGGTTCAGGGGTTTAGGGGTTAGGGTTTAGGGCTTAGCTGATGAACAGAAGCTTCCCAGAGAAGAAATTGTTGTAGGGTTCTTGAGGGCGGTGCGTGAGGGTAGGGAACTTTAGGGGAACTTTCGAGCAAACCCTAAACCCTAAACCCTAAACCCTAAACCCTAAACCCTAAACCCTAAACCCTAAACCCTAAACCCTAAACCCTAAACCCTAAACCTCCTAAGCCCTATATGAATCCTAAACCCGAGAAAGTTGAGAGGGTTTGGGAGGCTTCCTAGGAGGCCCTGGAAGCGGGGCCTTTGAGAGGTTTTTGGGTTTAGGGTTTAGGGTTTAGGGTTTAGGGTTTAGGGTTTAGGGTTTAGGGTTTAGGATTTAGGATGTATGTAGGGTTTAGGAAGAAAAACAGGAAGGTTTTGGGTCGTTCAGGGCCTTGCAGGGAGCAATCGGGTTCATGATGTGGGAGGTACCAGGGTTAAGGGATTTACTCTGCATGCTGCACCTTCAGCTTAAGAGTTCGAAATGTTTTGGTCAAACGCCCCACTGCCCCGATCGAAGGAACGAAGGGTGCTGCCAGGTTCTGGGCACCTCAAACCCCCCGAACACCTTGTGTCCTGAACTCATTGACCCCTGTATACTTGGACGCTCTTTTGACTTAGTAAGTCGACTTAGTATCTCCTTGTAACCCCTTTGTCCTACTAACTCCGTCAAAGAGGTCTTCAAGTCAAGTCAACCGTCCACCCTAAACCCCAAAAACCCGTAACCCCGAAGCAGGCACGAGCCTGAACCTGCACAGGGCGCGGGGAGGGGGGGGGGGGCGGGGCTGTGAACAGACTGCTGCAAACCCCGAACCCTAAACCCTAGACCTTGATCCCTAGAATGCTTTTGAAGCCCTGGCAAAGAACAAAGCGAGAAGAATCCTCCGTGGACCCGAGGTGCTGTATGTCGCGGTTCTTGGAGGGTGTAGCTCCTTCGCGCAGAAGATGCTGCGGAGGGCGCTTGGGCGAAATATGGCTTACAGTAGGGCACTCAATCATAAACCCTAAACTAAACCCTAAAGTCTAAACCCTAAACGCGTATGTCCTTTGAGGGATTTAGGGCCCAAGCCCCAGACGCCCCAAGCCTGATCACTTTTGACAACGAAGGCTTGGGGTTTAGGAATTAGGGTTTAGGGTCTGAGGGTCTTAGTTAGGGTTTTTAGGTCAACGGACTCGAGGGTTTTAGGGTTTTCGGTTTCTGAACGAGAACGGTACCAGGATTCCCTGAAGAGAATGACGAGGGTTTGGCATGGGGAACCAGTAAACCCTAAACCCAACCCTAAATCCTAAACCCTAGGCCCTAAACCCTCAGCCCTAAACCCTAAACCCTAATTCCTTCCAGCTCAACCCCCCCCCCCCCTCCCGCCCTTCAAGATCCGATTTAAACACAGCAGTCCTTATGATCTCCTTAAGAACTACGTTTATGAGGGGGTTTAGGGTTCAGGGTTTAGGGTTTAGGGTTTGGGGCTTGGGGTTTAAACCCAGGGGAACATGGACTATTTTTTGCCAGTTCCGAGGGGAGCATGGGCTACTGTCCTCCTAGGCTCCTAGGTGAGGAATCCAGACAACCAGAACCGTGAGACCCCTCCAAACCTACTGAATGCCCTAAGCCCTAAGCCCTAAGCCCTAAACCCTAAACCCTAAACCCTAAACCCGAAACTCTAAACCCTAAACCCTAAACCCTAATCCCTAATCCCTAAACCCTGAACCCTAAACGGCTTGCATCTAACGAATGACCTGCCAGGTCATGGCGAATCTCTACACGACCCACGGCTGGTCGGGCGACGAGGAGCTATGTCAGCTATGTGCCTTTCAATCCTAAACCCTCAACCCTCAACCCTCAACCCTCAACCCTCAACCCTCAACCCTCAACCCTAAACCCTAAACCCTAAACCCCAAACCCTAAACCCTCAACTCTCAACCCTAAACCCAGAACCCTAGAAAACTGTTGATGTCATCCCTGCCCTCCTTAAAGGCTCGCCGCGAAAACCCTGCAGCCGAACACTGCTTACCCGAAGGTTCATGTATGCTGCCTGCTCATACGCCGCCCCAATCCCCGAGATTTTGTTTAGGGTTTAGGGTTTAGGGTTGAGGGTTTAGGGTTTAGGGTTTAGGGTTTAGGGAAGCTAGGGTCGCCTAGCTACCGGAAGGCATGGGAGGGTCCTTTGGGGCCCTCACAGTCTTCTGGCTGGTGATTAGTAGGGAATGAGGGAATGAGGCCCCCTATATAATGCCTTAAAGCGTATATATAATATAATTTCATATCATATAATATAATTACATAAATATAAATATGTATATATATATATATATATGTAAATAAATAATTACAGAAAAAATTAAAATATAAATATAAATATAAATATATAAATATATATATATATATTATAGGGCCCTCATTCTCTCATTCCCCACTAAGAACCAGGGAGTCTTGGGGGAGGTCTTGGAAGTTAAGGCCCGCGCAATGGCGCGCAGAAGAGCCCCCTGAGACAGGCTCCGCAGGTCACTGCAAGGGTTGTAGAAGGGTGCCTGGGCCCCTCTTAGACATCCTGTGAGTCCTGTCCTGTCCCAAATGCCCCCCGCGTTGCAATAAGCAAAAGCGCCAAGAGTTGCAAGTGTTCCAAGTGTCCCAAGTGACTCAATGAGTCCCCTGAACATATCCGCGAAAGTCCCAAGTGAGCCGTCCCCAGTGGCCCGACTGTCCACGAATGACCTAACTATAAGGGTCCTCAGAACTCCAAAGCGACCCACGTGTCCCCAATGACCCAAACGTCCTAAATGACACAAGCGACCCGAAAGTCCCAAATGCCCCCAGTGTCCCAAGTTTACCCAAGTGTCCCAACAGCAAGTGTCCCAAGTGTTCCGAGTAATTCAAAGGTCCAAGTGTCCCAAGTGATTCAAGTGTGTTTCGCTGCGAGTTGTGATTGGGTGGCCTTGGGGTGGGCACGTCTTCAAATTAATCTGAACGCAGACCAACGTTGCACCCTGAGACTTTCACCCTGAACCCTCGTAAGCTTTGAATCTTTGTCGACAGGACACTGGAGAGATGTCGTCATGGTACGCTAGCTCCTCAGAGTGGATCCGGATGTCTTCTTAGGGTCTTCAACCTTAAATTCGAAACCCAAATCCTCGAAAAGCCCAAGCCGAGGGTTTAGGGGAGGTAGGAAGCTTTTTGATTTCTGTTTGTGATGGTTTTCTGACTACTTGTCTGTTTCCACCCAAACATCCCTATGTAAGTTCTCTAAAGTAGGGTCGTTGTTTGGGTACCTTAAATAGGAGGGGCAGCCTTTTTACTAGGACCAAAGGGTTTAGGGTAATTCTTTGAGAAGGGACTCACATAGAGTGGCAGGCACTCGAATTGAGTACTCGAGCCCTTCAGCCCTCAATAATGCAGCCGTGCAGTCCCAAGGCTTGTCGCAGCAATCTACACATTGAGCCAGGGTACAGTTGCCGGTTGCCACAATTATCATGGATTTGGGCAAACCCTAAACCCTAAAACGTAAACCCTAAACCCTAAACCCTAAACCCTAAACCCTAAACCCTAAACCCCTAAACCCTGAACCCTAAACCCTAAACCCTAAACCCTAAACCCTAAACCCTAAACCCTAAACCCTAAACCCTAAACCCTAAACCCTAAACCCTACACCCTACACCCTACACCCTACACCCTAAACCCTAAACCGGAAACCCTAAACCCGAAACCCTAAACCCTACAAGAAGCCGGCCAGCCAAGCCCCCAATCATGGACGGTCCTGTCGTGGGGGACATGGAGCCGCGCCCGCCGGCCTCTGCCCTTGCCGAGAATCGCCCCTTCCGTGTCGAGTTCCGGAGCGCTTTGAAACTGGGGTGTCAACCCTAAACCCTAAACCCTAAACCCTAAACCCTAAACCCTAAACCCTAAACCCTAAACCCTAAACCCTAAACCCTAAACCCTAAACCCTAAACCCTAAACCCTAAACCCTAGACCCTAAACCCTAAACCCTGAACCCTAAACCCTAAACCCTAAACCCTTTTTGTAGAGTCCAGGAATTATGGTTACCAGGGATTCTTTTTAAATTTAGGTTTCGGTTTAAGGGTACCTCCCCTCTTATAGTACCTATTAAGGACTATTAGTATAATTAAGGGAGAACATCCCAGGGCATGTTTCGTTATTTGCGACAGTCCCAGGACCTGTAGGAGGAATTGAGCGCCTTCATTCGCGGTGGCTAGCATAAGCCTAGTGCAATTCCTTTACTGCAACCCGACTTCACAAGGCCTCAACACGCCTGTGCCCTGGCCCCTTAAGCGCCTTAAAGTCAGGAACGGAGATCTGCTCACTGAGCGGCAGCAGGAAGGACCATGTCGCGTTGGCCACCTGCAGTGTCAGCTTGCCGCCATGTTCTGCGATGAAGTTCCCCCCACGTTGCTATTCGAGGGCACTCCATTGGCTTCGACGGACGTCCTTCGGGAAGAGGCTTCTTTGGGCGTGGTTCGCCGCACTTTGCCGGAAAGGTCTGCCTTTGCGTTGCAGGCGGCGCGCGCAGCTGTTTCCCGGGTGAGGTCAAGTCAACTGCAAGACCTGAAGTCGATAGCTGTGCCAGCTCAGATGATGCTGGACGTGATGGCTGCTAGCCTGAGCCTCCTCGATCACAGAGAGCACTCCTGGCATTCGATCAAAAAGCTGTTGTCTGGAAGTGCTCTACCGTCAAGGCTCATCGCCCTCCAGCCCCACGAAGTAACTAGGCTGTTCAGTACTACACCTTTTTTACTATTTTTGAGTTCTGGGTTCCCGATATTCGGCACGTAGCCCAAAAGGTATGAACTTTGTTTTTCCCTGGGGCACTGAAAGCCTAAGGTAAGCTTCGAGAGCCAGTTGGCAGTGCAGCAACTTGTGGAACAACGCGGCGACAGCTTTAGGCACGAGGTCATCGCCAAGTACTCCATAGCTCTTGCGCCCTTTGCTGCCTTGGTGAGGGCTTTCCGAGAGTGCTGGGCAGCCTGACTGCGTACCGGAAAAGTTTCCTGCAGCCCGGTGGCGGACTTTTGAGGGTTGGTCTTGGGGTCCTGCATACCCTACGAGCCCGAACACCGAACATCTCTTCGCCGTAGACCCTTGCTTCTTCAACCCCTAAACCCTAAACCCTAAACCCCAAACCCTCAATTGGCCCCTCGCTTAGCTTTCGGACTACCTGCAAAGGTGGCACGTACCGCATAGAGAAGTTTCAGTCGTAATGTTTGTAGGTGCCTGGCATACAAACATAAAACATGCATGTCTGGTAGCAGATACTGACACAGATGCATGCGTACAAAGATGCATGCGCATGCATTCCCGTTCATAGTTGTGTATCTACATGTTGGTTCGTGTATGCATGTGCTCATAGATATGTATATTCTTCGAAACGACAATACGCAAACTAAGCTTGCTCGTCCTGATGCCCTTTAAACCCAACGTAAACCGCTTCAAATCCCTACACTCTGAAGCCTCAACCCCAAACTCTAAACCCTAAACTCTGAACCCCGAAGCCCAATGCCCTCAACCCTAAAGCCTCAACTGTGAATCCTAAACTCTACATCCATGGAGTCTTTACGCGGGTTTGGGGATTCGGGCCGAGGGCTTGTTCGGAACCTAATGGTTAGGGCTTAGGGTTTGGGGTTTAGGATTCAGGGCTTAGGGTTGAGGGCAGTTACAAGTTCTGTGGTCAAGGGTGGCTGGCTTCGGGCTGCCCTGCATGAAGAGCCGTACGGATGGTTTTCATGTGGCCAATTCTCGACTCCGAATAGCTCGAGCATTCCCCCTCAGTAGCCAATCCCCATACCCCCGGCAAGGGGTGGCCCCAGATTTCCCTAAACCCTAAACCCTAAACCCTAAACCCGAAACCCTAAACCCTAAACCCTAAACCCTAAACCCTAAACCCTAAATTCTAAGCCCTAAACCTAAACCATACTACTTCATGTCCTCGAGTCGAAAAGGGGGGGGGGGGGCCCGCTTTGCGGTGTGGAGCTTTCGGAGGATACCAATGACTTGGGGCCCTAAACACAAGCCCTTAGGGTTTTGCAGGGCCTTTGGGTGGGGCTCAGGATTCAAGCTTACACCCTAAGCCCCCCCACACCTCAAAGAGCCCTAAACCCTAAACCCTAAACCCTAAACCCTAAACCCTAAACCCTAAACCCAAAACCCTAAACCCAAAACCCTAAACCCTAAACCCTAAACCCTAAACCCTGAAGGATTAGGGCTTTGCCCAGGCTGTGGGCTGTAGGACCTTCCCGCAGGTGCTTTCGGCGTTGGGCCTCTACAGCCTCCTGCCTGCTGTTAGGGTTTAGGGTTTAGGGTTTAGGGTTTAAGGTTTAGGGTTTAGGGTTTAGGGTTTAGGGTCTAGGGTTTAGGGTTTAGGGTTTAGGGTCTAGGGCCCCTAACCCCGAATCTGGCTTCGGGTTTGCTTGAAGGCTCGTGGGCACTTGCACGTAGCGTTCCGCGTAGGGCAAGGTTTCTTCTGCCAGGGCGTGCATGCTGCCACCCTAAACCCAAACCTTAAACCCTAAACCCTAAACCCTAAACCCTAAACCCTAAGCCCTAAGCCCTAAACCCTAAACTGCCACCCTAAACTGCTGGCAGGCAGCATGAACCTTTCAAGCAGGACTGAGGAACCTCAAGCCCTAAACTCTAAACCCTAAACCCCAAACCCAAAACCCAAAACCCTAAACAAGAACCCCCAAGCAAGCGCTAGACATCCCAAAGAGGTCATTGGGGTTGTAAAAAAGAACCTAAACCCTAATCTCCCCTTTTTGTGCTCGGCGGCGGAGGCTTGGTGCCAGGCAGTGACGACCTCGTGATTGGCAGCCCAGAGGCGGGGGTTTAGGGTTTAGGGGTTTAGGGTTTAGGGTTTAGGGTTTAGGGTTTAGGGGTTTAGGGATGAAGGATTTAGGGCTCAGGGAAGGTTAGGGTGTTTCTCTTTAAGGGATTAGGGCTTTTCGGCGCGCCTGCGCAGTCCGGCGGGACCCCCCCCCCCCCCCCCCGTCTTGCGCCGAGGTTCGCGAGTCCACCGAAACATGCGTGTAGGCTACCCTAAACCTTAAACCCTAAACCCTAAACCCTAAACCCTAAACCCTAAACCCTAAACATGTGCTCCGGGAGACCTGGGCGTACGCCGCACGCCCGTTTAGGGTTTAGGGGTTGGGGGTTTGAGGGTTTCGGGGCTTTGGGGGTTTAGGGTTTAGGGTTTTACTTTTTAGGGTTTAGGGTTTAGTTTTTAGGGCGGGTTTCGGGGATTTGGGGGTTTAGGGCTTGGGGAGTTAAGGGTTTAGGCGCGAGGTTCGCGCGTTCGCTGACCTCATAACTGGCACCGTGTGTCCGCAAGACTGTGGATATATAAGTGTCTTGTCTTGGGAATTAAGCCCAATACCCTCGGGTTGAACTCCCAAAACTCCGCAGCTCAAATTGATCAAAGCACTGACCTCTCAGAGCAAATCCTAGAACTAAGCTCAAACAAAACCCTCCAAACCCTCCAAAACCCCAAAACCCCAAAACCCCAAAATCCCAAAGCCCCAAAACCCCAAAACCCCAAAACCCCCAAAGCCCCCCAAGCCCCCCCCAAGCACCCAAAACCCCAAACCCGCAAGCCCCAGGCTCCTTGAAAGTTAGGGGTTAGAGTTGGGATGTTCCCCCTGATACTAACAGGCCTTACATAAGGATTATAGTACGGGGTACTATAATCCCTGTATAAGGGGGAACATCCCAAGTTTAAACCCTAAATCCTAAACCCTAAACCCTATTAAGGACTCTTAGTATAAGGGGGAACATCCCAAGTTTAGAGTGTTATGCTCGGGCCTGGCAAAAAAGGTGCCCCTAAGCCTAAACTCATACGCCCCCAAACCGCCACTTCTCTCCCGACACTGTCCCAAACCCTACGCTGGGGCTTAAGTTTAGGGTTTGGGGTTTAGGGTTTAGGGTTTAGGGTTAATATGGAAGGAATTTTCTGTGTCCGTGGGCCCACAGAATTGATGTTTCTAGGGGCCCCTCTCCAAACCCCAGTAAACCAAAGGCCCTAGCCTCCCCCCCGAAACCCGAGACCCTAAACCCGAGACCCGAAACCCCCAAACCCTCAACCCTCATCCCTCCACCCTAAACCCTCAACCCTAACCCTAAGCCCTCAACCCTCAACCCTCAACCCTCAACCCTCAACCCTCAACCCTCAACCCTCAACCCTCAACCCTCAACCCTCAACCCTAAACTCTAAACCCTAAAACCTAAACCCCTAAACCCCTAAACCCTAAACCCTAAACCCTAAACCGTCAGGTCGTCCGGGCGCAGCTGCAGGTTCCGGGGCGGCCGCCTCTTGTGATCCAGGCGCCCCCTGGGTCCAAGGGTGCCCTCAACATCCTGAAACCCTGTAGGGTTTAGGGTTTAGGGTTTAGGGTTTAGGGTTTAGGGTTTAGGGTTTAGAGTTTAGGGTTGAGTTGGGAGACCAGCGCGACAGCAAGTTTTTATGGTGGGTACCAAGGGCCATTAGTTGCATTAATGTGGGCCCGTGTGTCAGGGTTCACGGTGTAGTGCTTTAGAGTAGAGGGTTCGGGATGAGGGTTTCGGGGGTCGATTAGGTTGCTTTTTTGGGGGTCCTCATTTTAAGCGTGCCGTACTATACAGGGGACCCAAAACGGGACCCTGGGACCTTAAGCTGGGATCTAATTACCTCGAACCTTTCTAGAACTTCCCTGGGCCCCCGAAACCTGGACCGTCTTGGCATCTGGGACCCCGAAACTCCCTGGGACGAAGCCCCTCAATCATCGAGCGGAAGAAGGTTTTTCTTTAAGGCAACTGAAGTGAGTTTAGGCTTAATCCTTGGGATGCTCCCCCACATACTAGCAGTCCTTAATAGGGATTCTAGTACCCCCCCATTAGAATCCCTATGAAGGACTGTTTGTGTAAGGGGGAACATCCCAACTTAAGCCCTAAAAGGAATAGGTTAGGGTGGTTTTGCCGCCTGAGACGGCGTGGGGTGGGAGAAAAGTCATTAGGTGGCCCTCCACAATCGCGTTTCACAGAGCTTCGATTGGAAGCTAGTCTGCATCCCAACCTTCGCAGCTTCTGCGCCATATTACAGCAAACCCTAAACCCTAAACCCCAAACCCCAAACCCCAACCCCAAACCCCAAACCCCAAACCCCAAACCCTAAACCCTAAACCCTAAACCCTGAACCCTGAATCCTAAACCCTCCCTGCCCATTTGCAGGCGCCGGGAAACACCCCGGAGACCGTCTACGTGGCCAGCGCCGCGCTGAATGGGCGTCCGCTGGGATCGGTGGTCAAGCGCCTCGCCGAACGCAAGGACCCCAAACCCTGAACCCTAAACCCTAAACCCTATACCCTAAACCCTAAACTAAACCCTAAACCCTAAACCCTAAACCCTAAACCCGAAACCCGAAACCCGAAACCCGAAACCCTAAACCCTAAACCCTAAACCCTGAACCCTAGCCCTCGCAGACCCCGAACTTCACACCTTCGAGGTTCTCGAGCCTTGCGAAGAACGGCGGTGAGCTCACCTTTCGGATGAGCGCGGCTCCGGGTAGCTAGCAGCTAGCAAGGGTCCATGTGCCAAAGCACAGTTTAGGGTTTAGGGTTTAGGGTTTTGGGTTTCGTGGTATATACTTGGGCCCTAGTCTTTTCGAGGCCTAAACCCGCAATGCTAAACCCCAAATCCTCAACCCTAAACCTTCAACCTTAAAACCCAGAAGGCTAAACCCCATTCAGGCACATGGACCCGATGCCTTCTTCATCCAGCTGCGAAAAGAATCGGAGGGCCAGGGGTACACGGATTTAGTCCTAGGGTTTAGGGTTTAGGGTTCAGGGTTCAGGGTTTGGGGTTTAGGGTTTAGGGTTGAGGATTTAGAGTTTAGGGTCTAGGGTCTAGGGGTCTGGGTTGAACGCGCAACCCAAGCCACCTCGAACCCTGAACCCTAAACCTTATACTCTAAACCCTAAACCCTAAACCCTAAACCCTAGAACTAT